TTTCCATCTCTTGAAACAAAAACATATGTACAACAGATGTTTTCAGCAAAGCTGCTATAATAAAGTTTACATTCTTTTAATTGTATGGTAATTACTGTATAGTAGGCACTGAAGTCAAACCATCATTTGTGACATACTGTATAGCTAAAATTAATAAGGCCAGACATAAAAGGTATCATTCATATATTTTATTTTGTAAAAATTACCTTTTAATTCACTTTTGAATTTTGGGACATATGCACTCTGCAGTATAGAAATTTCTTTCTGATCAATGAAAATTGCTGCTTTTTTTGCAGTCTTATTTGTTATATCTGTGTTGAATGACCAAAAAAGTTGGACTTTTGATTATCTTTGGGGAAAATGAGTTTTTCAGATTCTACTCTAAGCTGTGATCAAAATAAAGTTTTTGAACTGTTTAAAAAAAGTGCATTTGTGGATTCAGCTTTATGTTTCCACTATAAACTCTTTATTTTAATAATTTTGTTTTATCATATGGGGAGCTTCTTTTCAACAGACTACTTGAAACAAGTGGATTTTTAATAAATGGTGTTTTTGTAGAGAAAGGCAATTTTTAAATATTTAGATACTAATGTACTTTCCTAAGCTACTAACTCAAAATCACTGGAAAGTTTTGGTTCCCAAGTTGGTGGTTGACAGAATCAGGCCCATTTTACTCCTCATTTCCCTTTTGAAAACAATTGCCAGTGACCTCAGTAAAATAGGCAAAATGGTGTGCACCAAGATTAAAAGATTGATAATGAAGTGATAGAGATTATATAATTTTTAGTTTTCTTAATAGTTTAAATAACATTTTACTATTATAAAAGTAACATTTATGTTAGAAAATTTGAAGAACATGAAAAAAGAAAACTAAAAGTAATGATAATCTCACCCTTCAGCATTAGCTGTTATTTGTGTTTTCTAGCGCTTCTAATGTATGTATGTTGCATGTATATGTTTGAGCATTTATTTCTACTTTAGTTAGGTGCAGTGTTGCATCTAATTTGTTTGTTTTATATAGAATTTTTCCATCTCATTAAATGTACTACAGAAGCTGAATAATGTTTCATCATACAACAATTTACTTAAGTAATACCCAGTTGTTACTAGCCACTTTCCATTTTTCACAGTTGCAGCAAAGAGTGGCCTCGTGGTTCACTCTCCATGTAAATCTTTATTTCCTCAGCATAAATTCCCAAAGGTGAAATTCTAAATGTTAATTTTATTCGACAGAAAAAAATTTCTTTTATATAATTTGTGTTTTTACATGGTTTTTGTATTCCAGTATATGGTCTGACATCTTTCGTTTTTATCCTCAACAAATAGTTGTCTATTTAAATCAGTTACCTCTTTGCAGGATGATATTGCATGGTCTGCGCTTGTGAAGTTGTTTGATCCTGTGAAATCTCCCAGGTGTTATGCTATTATTGCGCTGAAGAAGCAGCAGTGATTTCAGTTGAAGCAAGGTAATAGATGTGTCTGTTTGTGGAACCTATTGCTAATTTTGCTTTTTTAAACATTAATGCCATGTTATATAAGTATTTGAAAAACATTTCTAAGTATTTTAAATAGACGATAAAATAACAGCTAACAACAGAATGCCTTAATCCATTTTTCCATTGTCAGAGCATACATTAATGAAATAAGAACTCATGAAAATATTGTAAAAGGACTGACCTACATTCCTAAGTTAGTACATCCATGGTAATCTGCGTCTTGTTTCCTGTTCGATATCTGAGACCCATGATATTTGCTAACTGTTTTACTGAGTTAAAAACAGATAAAAGGTATAGGTGTACGTATAGTAGAACCAGTTGGGTCTGAAGATCATTTACATTTTCTTCCACATTTTGGAAGGATTTACCATGTTATCAGGGGGGAAAAATTCGCACTTAAATAAATGCCCAGGAGCCAGGATAGACATAAAAAGGGCTTAATATAAAGCATATTTTATACTGCCTTTTAGTCTAAATTAACGCGAGGAAATATTCCATGTCCTTAAAGGAATATGCACCTTAAAGGTGAGATATTCACTTTAAAGATTCTTGAGGCTATTTATCTTACTAAAATGAAGGATGTGTTGGCACTTACTGGAATTGCTTTTTGCTCTTTAAAAGACCAGTTTAAGAAAAGCAAGAGTGAATAAGACAAGGCCAGCCTCTGCCCAGTGTGGTAAAGGTTCCTTTCATTATTAAAAAAGTTGAGGTTTCTAATACACATGGAAGAGATGGACAGCTGGGAAAAAGCTTCCTTGATGTTCAGAGACTGTGTAAAATTCTTCCAGAAGAAAAAGTAACTTCTTTCTTAAATTTCATAGTCTATCTACAGATGAGAATAGTTCTTTGCTTTAGGTTGTGATACTGAGTTTGCAGCCAGTATGCAAGTGAATGATCAGCTGCTTTGAAGAGCTAGTACAAAGCTTTTTATTCTGAAATTTTCTGACTTGTCCAGAAATGGAGCATAGAATATAATGAATCCCCACATACACATCACCAACTTCACTAATGATCAGCATTCACCCGTGTTGTTTCATCTGTGCACACACGAGCAGGCGCACACACACACCCTTGCCACCACACCCATCTTCCTCAGAGAATTCTAAAGCAAGTCTCAGGCAGTTTGTTATTTCACATAAATACTTTAGTATATATTTCTAAGTTAAGGATTTTTTTCCATAATAATCTGTTAACCTGTCCTCATTCACATTTCCGTGATTGGCTCAAAATTTCTTTTATATCAGTTTGTTCAATTCAGAATGAAAACAGGGTTCACCCATTTTCATTTGTTTGATGTGTCTCTTTAGGTTGCTTATTTTATTCTCTTTTATTTCCTCATATTGTTTGCTCTATGAGTAGCTATCTCAGAAGGAGCAGAAAACCTTTCTAGCCTAGTTTCTTTCCTTTTATCATTTCAATTTCTATATAAAATTTTACACATTTTTTTCTGAAGCCCAAATAGTTGTATAACATTCTTTTCCCATTATAATAAAGAAAGAAAAGAACCTTATATGTGTAAAAGCTCTGTTTAATGTAGGGAAGTGCATTACAACTATTTTAACCAAGGAGACTATTTTATAGTCACTTCTGAATGTTTTAAAACACTGTCAGAAATTGAGTTTACCAATTAACGGCTTTCCAGTTTTTATTAATCAGAGAAAAATGTGAGATCCCAGCGTCTAATCAACATGAAATGACCTGTATGATCACACTGAGATGATA